TGTCACTCTCTATTTGACCCTTTGTCCCCAGACACAGCCACAGTGCACACACACCCGGCTGAGTTCCCGCTGGGCGCTGGCGGGTTTATGACTTGAATGATCTTCAGCGCTGATCAAGTTTCTTTGTACGAATAATAGGGGGATTAATTTTATATCGTTTGAAGCTTGCGACTCCGCACAGGCTCCGTGGGTCGCAAATTGGAGCTTCTATGGCCGGCTGGATCTTCTCTGGTATACTATTCCCTTTATTTTCCGCCCATTTCTACTATTTTTCCAGCGATCCGCGGAGCCTGGTAGAGGCTATTTTTAGCACAGCACGCTGGGTTTGGAGATCATTTTCGGGTACGGGCCACTCCTAGTGAGTCCTACTTGTAACTCTTCTCTGTCAGTGTGCTGCATAATGCTGAGGGCAGATTGTAAATTATTCTTCCATATCAGCAGTTTTATCAGCTTGCAAATAGCTTCTACAATCAGATTAAGAAAACAGCCTTTAGTTTGAGAGCAGGTCCTGAAGTATGGCACCTGACTGTCTGCAAAGTTGTTGCATACATACTGCATAAGATCGCTGTATCTGAATGTGACATTCAGATGAGAGTACTGAGTAAGTCCCCGTGGACGGAGTGGGAGAGATACAGGCAGGATGTGGGCTCTGTAAATTACTTACTTCACAAGAGGAGCCGCTTGATAAGGTGGATGGTTCAACGTTCCACAGGAAGAAATATGCACCTTTCACAAACCTTTCTAGGACTGACTAACTCATTGTATGATTTTTTATGTAAAAAAAAATGTCACAGAATTTTCAAGCAGCCTGTGACAGAACTGACAAAGATCAAAATCTAAGCATTATTCTGCTGAAGCATGCAAATCTAATAGACACAAAGATAGTTAAGTAATTACCACACTGCCATCAGGTCCATCAAGTGTACCGAGAGGTCAATCCCTCAGCCTTACCTCAACCTAACAGTGAATGTTACGTATAAAATATACATGTATGTATGATAAGCTTGTCTGATCTGCCCTTGGAAGGGTATACATATATATGCGGAGGTGACACTGACACACCAAACAGAATTATCCAATCTGCATTCAGTTGATACAAGCACTTTCAGTGAGTAATTACTTTTGTGACCTTGAAAACTGGCAAAAGTCAAACAGTTGAAGCTACAGCTGTCAGCTGTGCTTTTCTGAGGATGATGCACTCGCACCACGATTGTTGTTCTGGAAATCTTGTTCATTGCAAAGTTATCTGTAAAATTTGGCTCCATTTCTTTTATTATAACTCAAATTACAAGTCCAAGTAATCACAAAGTCATTTTCTACCATATAATATTGAATACATTGTATCTAGAATAGCACTCAAATGTTAATGCACTTGTATCTAATGATATAGGTGTACATGTACCTCATTTTACATTAGACTTACACTCCTAAAGCATGTTCTTCTGTCACACTCACTCATTGATCCATTAAAAATGTTACATAAAACTTAAGTAAAATTATAGCCGTGTACCGTTCTTTCAGCTTGACTTATTGGATCCATGCATCAAACAATCGATAAAACTACCAAATTTCTCCCATGTGGTGAAATGTTGCAATGCAGTGCCAGACGTATTTACAATGTGTATAACTTACACAGTATTGGAAACTCAATGAGTGTGCCAACTCATAAGAGAGTATTGCTTGGTGGTCTGAACGTGAATGTAGATGGACTGCTGTTCACATGAGAAGTTTAGACTACATATATAGATGTAAGGCTAACAGATGCTGGAATTTGTAATAAAACCAGTCCTACTATTTTTTCAAGTCACACATGAGGCATGTACATATAAATGTTATTTCATCTTCAATAGTACCACCTTACATGCGTGACAATGTGCATAAACTGTACACTAGAATACATACTAGGGAGATTACAGCCTCAGATACTGTACATTTTGTTATGTATGTCCATCAAATATTTTGGTAACTTTATACGTAAAGGCTGCCTATTTGATGCCTATTGCAACACTCCATTTGAAAATTCCTTAAAGATGTAAATCATAAAATCCCAATCATTTGTGTCAAATCAGTGTAGCCTATTATCATAGATGCAAACTTTTCATTTTGAGCTTGTATTCCACTGATGGGTACAGAATACACATTACACATATTGGAAGAGTATAAGCTATCATGCACTTAAAGACCCTCAGGGCTTAGACCCTCAGGCATATGCAGGTTATTATTATACATGTCATTAGTGCAAGTAACATTGGAGCTGTGATTTTTTAAAGTACCTACATCATAGTCTACAGCAGTCCTGTATTGGGTTAATTATTCATTTTTATAACCCTTACTACATGTCAGTGGATTTTTGCTTACTATATACAGCTAAACATGTCAGCAGTAAAATTACTAAAAATCAGAATAAAGAAAGATTGAAAATTATATACATAGTGATTTCTGAACAGTTTGCAGTATAATCCAAATCGTCATACCATAATACTGTTCCAGCAGACTGGTGTAGATAAAATTTATCTGCTAATTTAGCAGAAAAAAACTATTTTGAGCCCTTACTAGATGCTTAAATATCATCCTCTTGCGTATTTCCTATCTTCTTTTCAGCAAACAGTAACATATTGACCTGGTTTTCTGTACGTTAAAATAACAATATAGGCCAGCCAGCAGAACCAACAACATCCCTGCTA